TTGTTAAGCATCAGCTTCATACACATTCTGCAGTAAGAAAATTCATGTTCAACAAAAATGCGTGAAGTAAACTTCTTTCCCTCTAAGATATCTTCACAGTTTTCTTTTTCTCTGGTCCCCAGTACAGAGAACTCAATGATAATACAATGATCCTGTTTTCTATTAAGCCAGCAATGGCCTAATGCATTTTGAGTATATTTTTATTAAATAATAAAATACGTTTTTTTTTTCACTGCCATCAAAATGATCCTTATTTTTCAATATATCAAATTCTCTCTGGAGATCTAGTAATGAACTCTGAAGATAGTTACATTACACTTTGTCCCTCCTATTTTAAGTATTCAGATGAAAAGTCTCTGTTTTGAAGAGAAAATAGAGCAAAACATAAAATATTCACTAGGTTGTATACAGGGCTATAAAAATAGAAAAATGCTGTTTGAAACAGTTCTAAAAGTATGAACCAATATGTGAACAAAAATACAGAAAAAAACTCCAATTCTGTTTATCTTTACTCTTGTAACATTCTGATATTCATCAAAAGTATATTTAAGCATTAATTAAATTGTTCATGAAATCAAGTTTTCTAAGTTTCTGTTTTCTAGTTAGATTTTATTTAACTCCTCATTTTTAAAGTGATCTGAAAAGATAGGTGACTCTAAAATAGCATGCAGAGACCACAAGAAACTAGAGGCATTCATAATGGTCAGAGAAGAAAAACAAATTACTGTGTATGGCATCTGGGTAAAAGAAAGTGATGCTGTGGAACTTTTATGACAGTCATAAGGAAAAAAGTCTATTGAGCAAAGGTCAGAAAAGAAACAGTTTTGAGAAAAGTTCGGGTCAACTGAATGACAATGATGATGAATGAAAAATTTGATCTAGCTAGGAAAGATGAATGAGGAATATGGAACAAAGAGGCAAAGAGAAGTAAAGCCATCAGAGTCTTAATGTGACATTTGTCCAGAACAAGGGAGAAAAGGACCCAAGCCGGCAGACAAATTCCAAAGCAGGAGGACTACAGAAGGTAGCGGTTCGAAAGGAGAATGAAGAAGAAAAAAGGATGGAATATCCTTAGGGATGTAGTGATGACAGGAGAGAATGGAAAGTATAGGAGAATAAAGTCTATTGTCTTAATTCCCCGTTCACTATTTCAGACTTTCTATTGTCACAGCCAGTCACCTGTTTAATTATAAACAGAGGGCATTTGATACTTGTTAAATGGGTTTCTTTCTACGTTATGGGCTACATGAACAAATAATGAAAATGAATGGGTGTTTTCTATTTTTTGGAAGATACATATCTAGTTTATATAACCAAAGCAAATAAGCAAACAGTCTTCTGCTTAATGTTACCTTCATAAGGTATTATGTTCATCTACGCATGTATTATATGACCTAAAGCTACACAATGTATAGCCCATAAATATAGAGGTTTTAATATGGCAGTGTGTTTTCTTTTGAACTTGTCACAAAAGATCACTGTGTTCCTTATTTAAGACACAATATCTTTATAAAATATAAGCTGCTGTAGAGCTCTGCCTGATTTATGAACAAACATTAGCATCAAAACTTTACCGCTACTTGAACTCATTTGCTGGCTACTGACAAGGGAGAAGGAAAGTTATTAGATTATCACGTTATGAGGTGACAGCAGAAAGTGACATAACTGTGTCATTATGGTTTTAGACGTTCATAGGCCCCCGTGTAAATCTGTCAGTCCCAATTCAATAAACCTTAGCTTTTTTATTCCCTGGCAGGTTTAACCTTACCCTGCTTCTTGGTTTTTATATCCCTAACTTCTCTGCTCCTCGTTGTAATCTTGGGTCTCCACATACTGCTTTGTGACCTCTTTCTATTTTATTCTCTTGCCCATTCTCTATATCTTACTTTTGATTTTGATATAATTAATACTGAAAAAATATCAATACAAAATTTGAAATCAGACAACTCATTTTCTGGATGAGGACATGCCAATGTTCTGGAGTCTTTCTTTTTCATTCTATTTCTTTCTTATAACATTTCTGTGTACAGTTATGTATTACTTGAATTGAGCAGTCAGGAATAGTTAATAGTTGGGATGTCCTTGGAGGCTAAAATGTAACAATATTTGAAGTCACTGGCACTCTACAGAGAAAAATGTAATCTATGTTTTTTAAAGACGCTTTAATTGCTCAGCAATCATGCAGAACTGAGAAATATAACTCTGCTTCCAAGATAATAACTCCCCAAATTGCAAAGGTCACTACTCAATCCCCTTGCTATCTAAAAAATGTGAGAATGACACCCAGAGTCAAAAAATTCCAATAGTCTATTATTCATAGCATAGACTATTAGTTTTCATGTATTTTTATAATAGTGCAAATAACCTGCTGTGTGCTATTATCCTTTCAAAAATAAGGCATTTCAGGTAACTTTGTTCATAATAGAAAAAAAAAAAAGAAAGACGAAAAAAAAGTTGTTCATATAGAGCCCAGTTGTATAGTCCTCGTTCAACAAAAACTAAAGTTATAAATTTACAACAGTTCTACAGCCCTGGAATTCCACAACAGCAAATGATAAGAGGATGTGACACAGAAGTGAAGGAAGCAGCAATCAGCTTTCACTGGCCCTTGGTGGTGTTCCTTGGAACTTCCTTCTCTTTTTCTGTAATGATTCCATCAACTAAAGAGAGTTCAAATGTTTTATTATGTTAACTCAAGTAAAACTATTCTTATTCATTTAAGCATAATATGTTCACAGTTATCAAAATATTATTAAAAGGATATCATCTATTCAGTGTATTGATCAGAAAAATCTCAGTAAATTATGATATCTGTAATATCTGGAATGAAATCATACATGAACTCGTGAGGCTGAAACTTTGTAGCTCTGTGAAAGTTGCTCAAAAATTGCTTTGTGCAAACTATCTCCAAAACTGAGCAAATTCATTCTTTTTAACTTCTCTTCTTCCCCTGGGGACCTAAATATTTTCTGTCTGCGTACTTGGAAATAGTTTTGGGGCTCTATTCAAAAAGATTTTCACATTCATATCCTATCAGTACTTTTGAAATTGTACTTTTGAAATTGTACTTACATACCTCAAAACATGTAACTATGGTATAATATTCTTTTTTTTAAAAAAAAATGAAAGAATAAACATACCAACACCATATCAATACCATCTCTGTGTCATATTCCACTGTAAGGTGGCTATACTAGTTAATACGAGGGTTCAGCACCATGGACAACTACTGCCAACACTACAGTCCCTAGTAGTGCACTCGACTTGACCCAAAGAATATCTTTCATAAATAAATAAATAAAAGCATATTATTAAAAAATGGGGGGGGGGAGAGGAGGGAATCGAAAATCTTATGACTTAACTTGCTTAAATCATTACAGTTCAAGTAAGAATTAAAAATATGTGGTGAAAGTATCAGATAGTGTCGGAAAGCGTAGGACTGTAGAACTAGTTATCATACATAACTTAGTCTCTGTGCTAACTTGTCTCTTTAGTTTATCATTACCAAAAGCAAGTGAAAACCAAAAAACCCCAGCAAACTAAAAAGCAGATTAAAATCCCCAAAGCTCTTGTCATTCTTTCTTAGCATAACTTGCCCTTATAAAGTATTATAAAATATTTACACTGTACTATATTTATTTTCATTTGTTACATCATGCTGAAGATAAAAGTCCTTTTTAAAAAATGGTAGCATAATACAGGCCCTTTATCTTGTTCAATATTCTGTATGCAGTTTTCCTGGCTAAATCATGATTGCACATAATAAATCAACTTTTTCATAATAGCTTCATAATACACTTTCATTTTGGTAAGTTTAAGAATTATATATGTTTCAAAAACCTCAACAGTTTCAATAAAATTTGGCAAAACATTTGACTAATAAAATGATGATCTTCATGAGAGTGAAAAGTTTTGTTTATTAATACATGTAATTATTAAGTAGCTGGAAAATGAATCAACAAATTTTCAGTTTCAAAGATGATAACTATAAAGCCCAAAATGAAGAGTAGGGCAACAAATTGTCTTCTCATATGAGCAAACCTTTCTAAATCCCTCTTAGCATTACAGATGAATACACGGTACAACCTGATGAATCCACTGCTCCAATGTGACTCTAGTATCAGTAAGAGACCTTTACACTAAAATCTATTGGAGTTTAGTGCCAGAAATAGCATCTCTTAACTCCTAATTCTCTGCAAGAATTTATGTTGTCATTAGAATTATGTTTTCAGATATTTACTTCAACTGTCCTACAAGTGTCTCACACTTCCTCAAACATTTTTCCACACCATGTCATAAGTAAGCATAGCTGGACACATTCTATTTACCTGGGGCCAAGTTACAATTCTGTACAAATTAAAGATAGTTTATTCAATGTCTTAAATAACACAAGTAATTGTTTGTTTTGTTTTGTTTTCCTGTGAAGATTATGACTTTTTTAAAGTACTTTTGTGAAAATAAATCACTTCATAGTACCAAAATCCATACCGAAGCCCCCTATCCATCAATTCAAACAAAAAGGCAGGTCCGCATATTTTTATGCATGGTCAAATTAAAATATTGCATTTTTTTTCTCATAATTATCACTACTTTAGCAATATTATAACAAGTCCTCTCAGAAATTGTATACTTTTCTAATAATAGAAATTCACCAGTAACTCATAAACATTTAGAATATCTTCTGATTTCATTATCCAAACCAAACAAACTGTCAGAGAAAACAGCAAAGAACCCAAAAATATTTAAAAGAATTACATTTGCTTGGGATTTTTAATTTATCTCCTCTTGAGCATTTGGGCTGTTTTAACCTTATCAATCAACCCTTTAAATTCACATATGTAAAAGGAGTGCTGACTTGTATTCATGAAGTTGAAGAAGAGAAACTTACCCTCTTTTTTTTTTTTTTTTTTTCTATTAACATTTCTGAAATTGAACATTTTCAATTCCTGGCAACACACTTGTTGAAATGTTGGCTGTAACCAAATACCAGCTGTACTTACCCCAGAGTTGTCATGGTGACAATGGTGTACCAGAAGGCAGCAGGGATGCTGGTGAACTTGCTGGCTGATGAACCTTTCTCTGCATAGTACATGACTGTGGCGAAGATGATGATGGCCATGGTGAGGGAGAAGAGGAGAAAGCCTAATTCCGAGGCACAACTTTTCAGGGTGTAACCCAAGATGCGCAGCCCCTGTGAGTGGCGGGAAAACTTAAAGATCCTGAAGACACGAAAGACCCGCAGTGTCACAAAAGCCCCACTGACATCCTCGTTATCTGTCATCACCAGGCCAATGTAATACGGCATGATGGCAACCACGTCAATGATGCTCATGACACTGCGCACAAACTTGTAACGACTAGGGGCTGCCAGCAAGCGTAACAGATATTCAACTGTGAAGATCATGACACAGGCAGTATCCAGACAGAAGAAAGCCACTGCGTAGCGTTCTCCACAGGGCAGCTCCTTGATGCGGCCCGGGCTTACCCCACAGGGCACTGTCTCCACCACATTGGCAATAACAGAGACTGCAATGAAGAAACCAGTGACATAGTAGAAGACCAGAGCCAGTGTACTGGTGTGTGGGTTTTCAAAGGCCCGCCACATCCTCTGCCGAGCTGTCATTGAGGGCAGGGAGCTCTCAGCTGCATGATCCTGATCAGCGTCATCCTGCAGGCGCTCAGCATTCTCACGTCGGCGATCCTTGTACTCCTCGTAACAGCAGTCGCCAATGATCTCAGGGATGATGCCAAAGAAGGCCAGCTCCTCATCATAAGCAGAGATGCACTCTTGGCGGGGGTAATGAAGCTTCCCTGTTCGGTAGAAGTTGAGAATGTGGCGAAAAATGTCAGGGTCCCGGTCAAAAAAGTACTGCTGGGTCTCTGGGTGGTAGAAGAAGTCCCGCTCTGAACTGCCCAGCAGAGTGTCTGGGTAGCGCTCTAAGGTGTCCAACCATGTCTGGAACTGGATACCACTCACATTCAGCACAATCAGAGAGTCCTGGCTTCGCTTCCTCTCCTGCCGTGGCGCAGCTGGCATGGGACCTGTGGCCACTGGCATCCATCCTATGGCGGCCGCCCTGGCAAAGGGTAACCATGCTGCCACTCCTGCTGCCATGGTCCTGAACAGCTACTACAGCTGAGTGAGTCAGTCTAGAGATACTTCTGGTATGGCCACTAAAATACAAACAAAAAAGAAAAATACAAATGCTCACACATTTTGGAGGCAACAGAATTTCAGAACGCTATTGTGATTCCGTATTAGCTGAGCTGCCTTCTTATTTCCTTCCCTTTCTCGTCCGAGACTATCCTTTCCAGGGGCTGATCAGCCAGTCAGGGCAATAAATCAGGGCGCCGGGAAATCAACATATTCAAAGCACCTTCTGCTCCCCAGCAGCCGGATCCCCTGGAGGCGAGGTCCGTACGTGGCCCCTCGGTGGAAGCGACGCTCCCGAGCGCTCGCCCCCGCGGCTGGCAGCAGCCCTGGCGCATCCGCGCAGCCACCTGGAAGGAGATTTTCCTCCCCGCGCGATGCAGCCTGGCCCCGCGCCCCTCCTCCGCCCGCCGCCGGAGCCGGAG